TGGGCCTGCCTGCTCTGACCGGCATCCTCCCCCACCATCTGAGCCAACTCACCACCAGGTAGTGGTCAGCTGACAGCTCTGCCCCTCTCTTCACCCGAGTGTCCAAGACATGCGGCCGCAGGTCAGATGAAACAACAACAAAGTCGATCATCGAGCTGCGGCCTAAGGTATCCTGGTGCCAAAAGCACATGTGGACACCTTTATGTCTGAACACGGTGTTCATTATGGACAGTCCATGACTGGCACAGAAGTCCAATAACAAAACACTCGAATTCAGATCAGGGAGGTTGTTCCTCCCAACCACACCTCTCCAGGTCTCACTGTCGTTGCTCATATGAGCGTTAAAGTCCCCCAGCAGAACGAGGGAGTCACCAGAAGGAGCACTTTCCAGCACCCCCTCCAAGGTCTCCATAAAGGGTGGGTAGTCTGAACTGTAACTTAGTGCAGAAGCATAGACCACAGTCAGAACCCGTCCCCCCACATGTAGGCGGAGGGAGGCTACCCTCTCGTTCACTGGGGTAAACCCCAACGTACAGGCACCAAGATGGGGGCAACTAGTATGCCCACCCCTGCTCGGCGCCTCTCAGTGGGAGCAACTCCAGAGTGGTAGAAAGTCCAACCCCTCTCAAGGAAACTGGTTCCAGAGCCAGAGCCATGCGTTGAGGAGAGTCTGACTATATCTAGTCAGAACCTCTCAACCTCACACACCAACTCAGGCTCCTCCCCCACAAGAGAGGTGACATTCCATGTGCCAAGAGCCAGCTTCTGTAGCCGAGGATCAGACGGCCAAGGTCCCCGCCCTCAACTACCACCCGTCACACACTGCGCCCGACTCCTTTGGCCCCTCCCACGAGTGGTGAGCCCATGGGAAGGGGGACCCACGTTTCCTCTTCAGGCTGTGCCCGGCCGGGCTCCAAGGGTGAAAGCCCGGCCACCAGGCCTTTGCCAAAGTGCCCCACCTCCAGGCCTGGCTCCAGAGGGGGGCCCCGGTGACCCACGTCCAGGCGAGGGAACACAGTTTCCATTTATATAATTCATCATAAGAGGTCTTCGGGCTGCTCTTTGTCTGATCCCTCACCTAGGACCTGTTTGCCATGGGTGACCCTACCAGAGGCAGAAAGCCTCAGACAACTTAGCTCCTAGGATCACTGAGACACTCAAACCCCTCCCCCACAGTGAGGTGACAGCCCAGGGAGAGGTCCATCAGAAGACAAGTGCAACTCTTTTTAATACATCCTACATTGACACCAGAAGGTGTTTCTCCTCGTGCCAATTTCCTCAAGAAGATCAGAGGTCAGGTTCAGGTAGAGAGCAGCACCTCTAGAGATGTGGCAGAAAACACGTCTCGTTTAACCCTAATCCTATAGTCATCACCCCAGAAACCAACACGAGGCTCTTGCTCAGATGTTTAGTTGCAAACATGCCACATACAAATCAGTTATTGATGATACGATCTACATGCATGTTGTTCAAGGCAAACATAATTATTATTACTAGAATGAGAGGCTTTGGTCTAGAATCAATGTTCAATTCCCGACTGCATTAATCAGACATTTCTGTGGATGTTTCTGTGCTCAGAATAAAGTTTAGAGATTAGGAGAGAGCACCAGGACACACACTCTCTTGTATGAATAACAAACCCGCTGAAAGGTGGAGCTGAATGTATTGGGGTGTGTGTGTATGTGTGTGTGTGTGTGTGTGTGTGTGGGGGGGGGGGGGGGGGGGGTCAGGCATAGAAAATAGCAATGTACAAACTCAAGCTCTGAATGTTTATTTCCCTAAGGCCTGGACTTTACTTGTGCTTAATTACGTGTAAGCATGTTTTTCATGGCTGCTACAACTACATTGCATTTGTTTGAAGCATTGTTTGTGCAAGTCCTCTGAAGTTAACACCACTAGTTCACAAGATGCAATATATGGGTAACCGGTAGGGGGAGTTGACAAAATGCCGTTTCTGGCTTAGAGGTCTTACATACCCTCCACAATACCATTGATGTCTTTATTTTCTGTCCTGATCAGCTCCTGAACTCTTCTGTTGTCGCCAAGTCTTTTTTTGGTCGTACAAATCTGGCACTCTGTATATTCTGAGTTATGTACTGTGCCCCCTAGCGAAACCCTCCAGTACTGCAGCAAATAAAAGTCCAAGATGCAGTCTGCTATCTGCATCAGTGAGATCTTATAAAGCAAGTATGGTCCTAGCCTAACCCCTTCTTTCCACTGGATGTGAAAGTGGCGTGTAACGTGATAGAGGCATTTTCCCATGAGCTCATTCCCAACAGGGAGTGACTCTGAAGCAAAATGGGAGCAAAAGTGTTCCACACAGCTGATTCTGTGAGGTCACAACATCACAGGAGAATTGCAGCACCACACATGATTTCAGAAGTCCAAACAACAAAAAGCAAAGAGACATGGTTAGGGTTAGGCTGTATGACTCCAAAAGGGGTGTGGTTTATCTTCTGTTCTGTTGACCTCGTGTTACGTGCCGTGCCCCTTTTTGGCCACAAGATGGCCTCAGTGGCTTTTGCCTCGCCTGGTTCCCGGTGCCCCAGCTGTGTAGTATCAGTAATCACTTAGCAGCTGTTAAAAGCTGCTCTCCTGCCCTCAGTCAGCGAGAAGGTCAAGGATAGTGCCGACTGGGAACAGTTTGGGCTATTCTCCTCGGTTCGCTCTTTGATAATATTCGGTTTGCTCGCTAGTTTTCGTGGATAACTCGTTTGGATTTGGGATTTAGGATTAGACTGTTTGGCTTCTTGACTTCGGCCCGGCATTTTGACTTTGACTTTAGGATCTCCCCCTTTGACTATATATCTATTATTATACTCGGTTTCTTCCCACCCCCTTCTGGGGTGGCGTTTTTCATTCTCCCTTTTGTAGATAAGCTCCTTGTGTTTTTATTATATAGACTTTCCTTTTTAGTATTGTAAATATTCATTCTGTAATAAAGATTCTTGTTTTTTTTAAGCGACACAGTACTTTGTTCATTATTAAAACAACACACTATTTTTATTACTCCCCTCCTCATCTCTCCTAGAGAGCCTGGGACGTAATACCTCGGGTATGGGGGTTTAACAGGAAATGGTGTACATTTACCTGCATGTGACTTTTATTTTGAAAGTTTCTGGATGTGTTACACTGCATTTGTGTTTGACTTTGTCTCCCACAATCTAAACTGCAATTGACATAAAACTGACACAAAATGTAACAAAAGTGTACCCTTGCTTCTGGAAACGGTCTAAAATGTGCTGCAGGTGGAAATAAGCTCATCCAGTATAGCGGTGACAGACTGTTGCGTAGTACGTTTTGCGGCCGTTTCGTGACGCTTTCTCGTCCAGTAGAAAGGATGGCTGAGAGTAGCAGTGTGGATTCAGCACCATGGACAGCTACACTCCACTGCTGCAAGTCTGGAGCTAAAACATTCCTCAAACTACAGACTTTTATTCTTTGTTCCTTAACCCTCTCAGGCTCAAATTAAGTTTTGATGAAAGCACGAACAACGAAGTCCTACAGGGGTAATTCTGAGTTAAAAAATGCTCATGAAATACGTATGTGTGGAGTAACCAGGTAGGTAGGTTGTAATGTTGTAAATCTGCAACGCTGGCCTCCAGAGAGATAAATATCAAATATCACATTAGATATCATTGTTGGGACAAAAAGCTAGAAGCATGAGGTTTGATGCTGCTTTTTGTGGCAAAGGGAAAGCTCTTACTTGAAAAAAAAAAAACCATCCTAAAATCCCCAGAGCTCCAGGGTGTTTGTTGCTTGGATGTCCCTGCACTCTGACCTGTATAGATTTGTTTCTTAGGGTGATTTTTTTTCTGTTTCATAACCTTATTTTTACTTATTTATTTGTATCGGTGTGTGTTTCTTTCCTCGTCTTTTTGACTTTGTTTAGTTTTCAACATACGTGTCTCACTCATGCGTGACTATGATGCGTTCACCATGCCTCTGTACTTCACACACCACAGTTTAGTTGACCTTTCCAATACCGATTGTGCTTTTTCTCGTATCTCTAACTCTCACTGAGAATTATTCCACCTGGCATCAGACGTGTTCAAATAGTCTCTGTTTTTAAGGTTTATTTGAATTCATTTAATTTAAATTTAGCTGATTAAAGTAAAACATATTAACTCCATGCCGTTTGGTTGGCAAGGCAACCAAATGGTAGAGCACATTTCCCCCCAAATAAGATGTTTTAAAAGAGAAAAATAATATTGCTGTGCGTTTTATTCAATAATATTAGTTTAATGAATATGAAATTATTATTGATGAAATCAATGTTGTTCTACCAGAAAAAAATAGACAATTATTGCATTTGTCTGGGGGTGTACCTTAATTCAAGGCAATAACCTGACAGTGCCATTTTTGTTCTACATCATGCGTTTTCGTCACGCTGAGACCAAACTGAATAAACTAACAATGAAAACTTGCTGCTTTTGCATCATTTAAATGTTCAGAGATTTTCACTTTGCGCAAATGTTTGCGTTTTAACTCTGCCTCCAAGGCCCGCATGCGCCCTGTCTTTCAATTTGCATTGGCCAGGTTCCTTATGCAAATCATCGAGTAGGCGTGGTCGATTCTCGAAAGTACGAGCTGACGTCACGGCGCAAAGTGGAACTTGGTGAGTAGGTGAGGGTGGTGGTCTTAAAAAATACAAGCACGTAAAGCATAAGATGAAATAAACAGGGCTGATTCCAAGCAAGGCAGTTTATAGGCTGGAAAGGGAGGAGAAACAGGGTGGGAGGAGGAGTAGCGAGAGAGGGAGATATAAAGGAGGGGAGGGGGTGAGGTTGCGATGTGGCGCCGTGCAGTTGACTACACAGGGGGAGAGAGAGTGGGAGTGAGTGAGAGTGTGTGAGGGAGGGAGAGAGAGAGAGAGAGAGAGAGAGAGAGAGAGAGAGAGAGAGAGAGAGAGAGAGAGAGAGAGAGAGAGAGAGAGAGAGAGAGAGAGAGAGAGAGAGAGAGAGAGAGAGAGAGAGAGAGAGAGAGAGAGAGAGAGAGAGAGAGAGAGAGAGAGAGAGAGAGAGAGAGAGAGAGAGAGAGAGAGAGAGAGAGAGTAGCCCGCCGGCCCATTGAGGAAAGATGGCTACAGTCGCTGCAAACGGAGTGCAGCAGGAGAATGGATTCAGCACCACGAACAGCGCCGGCAGGATGAACGGGCTTACCATCGGCCAGAACACCATTCCAATGAAGGACCACGACGCCATCAAGCTTTTCATCGGCCAGATTCCCAGAAACCTGGAGGAAAAAGACCTGAAACCGCTGTTTGAGGAATTCGGAAAGATATACGAACTCACTGTACTGAAAGACAGGTTTACCGGAATGCATAAAGGTGGGTTGCATCGCTGTCATTACTTTTGCAAAGCGGTAGAGAGAGAGAGGGAGAGAGAGAGGGAGAGAGAGTACAGAGACAGGAGAGAAATTAATAAGAGCGTCCCGAGTCAGTCAGGGGGCAGAAGGCTCGAAAAAGAGAGTTGGCGTCACACACACACACACACACACACACACACACACACACACACACACACACACACACACACACACACACACACACACACACACACACACACACACACACACACACACACGTGTGTGTTGGGAGAGCACATGGGTCTAGGGTGTGTGGCGGGGTTGATTGTAGTTACGGCGGCCAGCAGCAGCTCCACGTGAACGCTCCAGCTGAAAACGCCTTGTTTACATCGCCTCTCATGTGCAGAACATCCCGCTACGGCCAGTTGAAGGGGGCGGGACAGTTCACAGGCAAGTGCGCGAGATGCTATTATTTAGCAGCTGCGTACATTTCTTCATCACTTCATAAGATAAACGCAATCCGTCCGAGTCCATTTGGTGCATGTTGTCACACAGAACCGAGCCCTTTGGTGGAAAGCGGAACATGAAATCCACCATCAGTCAGCACCGGTGATTAAGGTGGTACTGCATGCTGCTCTGACCTTTCAGCTGATATGCTGCAAACCTTTCCGATGTCATTAGCAATGGAGAATACAATTTCCACGGCAGCTGCGTAGTAATGGAGCTCCGTGGGCGGGTAGCAGTCAGGAAGTACAAAGCACGATAATAGTAGAGTACACACACACACACACACACACACACACACACACACACACACACACACACACACACACACACACACACACACACACACACACACACACACACACACACACACCTAAAACCAGCTCATTGTCCAAAACGATTTGTAATTATCAGGCAGACACATCACGGATCGATCAATAATCGCCAGGTGATAATTAGAAATAACAGACACGTTTATGCTGGTTTTAATTCATGCATGGTGATGTGAATAATTCTGGCCTTTATTAAACGTTTAAACTGCTTTTCCTGATCAATAACCTTGGTATCCTTACACTGTTTTATTTCTCTGAGGATGTTATGTGGATAATAAAAATATACTAACAAAAAACAACCCATATTGATTTCAAATTTTACATTTCGGTACTAATACTGCAAAAAACGATCACCAGCAACACATTTTTAAATGAATAACTGGAATCAAAATGTTAAATAACTCCAGCAGTGAATGTAAATTCACCGTTTCTCCTTTTGCCAAACAGAATTACAAGTGATGCATAAGTCCGTGTCCAAAGTTCATGATCCTATTGATTGGCACAAGTGAAGCACTCTTGAGAGAGAAGTGTGTGTGTGTGTGTGTGTGTGTGTGTGTGTGTGTGTGTGTGTGTACCACCTGTTTCTCCAAGCATAAGCTACAGCTCGTTCTACTACTGTTTTTCCTCGGCACCCGTTGAACAATATTTCTGATGTTCATGTTGTTTACGCGTCCTCGGCCATCCCTGAATGTCATCTCTCTGGAGGATGGTCGCCAAAGAAAAGGATAATCCTGTTCTAAAGACAGACCAAATGCCCGATCAAATCATCCTCCACCAAGGCCACTCTGATGCTCGCGTTATGCCCACTTCATCCCGTAGGACATTCAAAGTCACTTTGGGAGCATCGGCGTGTACTTTTAATAAGATTTAACCACCACATTATATGGATGAGTTTTTTCCTTATTGGCTCCTCGACCAAACCGTGAACACGTCCCCTGCTGTGTTGATGTGTGAAATCTGTAAAGGGGAGCAAGAACGCACATGAGCAGGAAAATGGGATTACAGCCATAAACAAAATAAGTAACAGGTTTAATGCATTCATGACTTTTAAACTGAATTTCAAACTGGTTTTTAGTACATTTCCAAAATGTGGCTGGGTAGTCTTCATCACAGAAGGTTTCAGCATAAAGAGGAAAAACAGAAATGTATGCCTTCGTCTTTGTGTCTTTTTCATGAACATCTGCTACAATCGCCTCATAAATGTTCAAATTCACAATGGCACCTTTTCTTAAAGCTAAAAATAATAAAAACTTTTTTTTTGTTCAAAAACGTTGTTACCATGGCACAATAAAAGATGTTGTTGCTTTGGATGGTCGAGGATAAATACTGAGCTATAACAAACAATATTGTTACAGACGTGTAAAGAAAAAAATACATTATGCGATGTAGCAGATAATTATATTTAAATGTACCAAAACTATAAAACATAAAGTATATATATAAAAGGCCCTACTGTAGCATCATGTAATGTAACAACATATTATGTAACATTTTGTATTGTAACCTAATGTCATATAAATGTTACATTAAGTTACATAACAGAAGTAGCAAAGTAAAGTAACTTAACAAAAATATATGAAATGCAATGTGACACCTAATTTATTATAAAATAAAGTACTGTAACATAAAAGTACTATAACATAAAGTAATGTAACATCAAATTAATGTAACATATAATAATGTTATATAAAAGTACTGTAACATAAAGTAATGTAACATAAAATTAATAAAGCATATAATAATCTAACATAAAAGTACTGTAACATATAGTAATGTACATAAAAGTACTATAACATAAAGTTTTGTAACATAAAGTAATGTAACATCAAATTAATGTAACATATAATAATTTAACATAAAAGTTCTGTAACATGAAGTACTGTAACATAAAATTACTGTAACACAAAGTACTGTAACATAAAATACTCGAACACAAAATACTGTAACATATAGTAATGTAACACAAAAGTACCATAACATAAAGTAATGTAACATCAAATTAATAGAATATATAATAATTTAACATAAAAGTACTGTAACATATAGTAATGTAACATAAAAGTACTATAACATAAAGTTTTGTAACATAAAGTAATGTAACATAAAATTCATGCAACATTAAGTCATGTAACATAAAAGTACTATGACGGATAGTAATGTAACATGAAGTACTGTAACATAAAATTACTGTAACACAAAGTAATGTAACATAAAGTACTGTAACATAAAAGTACTCGAACATAAAGCATAAAGTTATGTAACATAAGATTAATGTAACTATAATAATGTAACATAAAGTACTGTAACATAAAGTAATGTAGCATAAACTTGTGTAACATAAAGTACTGTAACATAAAATTACTGTAACATAAAGTAATGTAACATAAAATTACTGTACCATAAAATAATATAACACAAAGTTATGTATTGTAACATAGAAGTATTAGCGAAATTAAATTTAAGGTCATGTGACACATTTTAAAATGCAATTTAAGTAAATTAAACATGATCTAACATAATATTATTAAACAACACAACATAACATTATGCTTTCTAACATAATGTACTATAAAGTAACTGTAACATAATGTAATGTAACATAAAAGTAATGTAACATATAGTAATTTAACATAAAGTAACCTAACACTGTTTTCTTCTGGGATGTTTTTATTAGTCTGTTCAAATGAGGAGTTTCCTCATTTCTGCAGGGTTGTGTATAAAATGACACATTAAAATTCTCAGCTATGGTTGAATTTATTTGAGTAAATTGTCCGGTTTGACGTTGTTCTATCTACATGATTTATGTCCTTGTAAATAAATGTTTTGGAGCTGCTCTGCTGCCACATCTGCAGTCACAGACGTTGACCATTTTGTGAGGTTTTGTGATAACGGTTCGTGGTTCCGGTTTTTGAAAAAGTGCTAGCTTGCTTTGGAGTATTGGCACAATATGCCAATGGATGTAACAAGCTGTTATGTCAGAGGGTTAGGAGGTTTCCTGAAACATGATCACAAATCCAATCCACGTTTTCCTCTGAAACACATTTTTCAGAGCAGATAAAACAGGAGTAGACGAGGAAGACCTGTTTGTCGTTATGAGGTAATGAAGATTTGTTGTGCTTTACTTTCACGTCTCTTTGGGAGAAGAAAGCTTTCATATTATGTTATGACGTCTTTGGCTGTTGGTTAGTGAACCGTACCTACGGGGATACTTGCAGCCATAGATTTTTCTGCAGCTCTAGCTTTGTGGTTTGATTTTGGACTCAAGGGTAGATCAAAAATTGTCATGTTTGCTTCTGATTAATTGTACTGTGACAGTTTAAACAGCTGTTTTGTGGCTCGTGAATCCTCTCGGGGGACTCGACCGAATGTCTGGGGAAATCCACATTTCTTCTTGTCCTGTACAGTGAGTGAGTCTGTGAAGCTGCATGTTGCGTCCAGCCTTCTAATCGCCGCTGCCTGTAAGTGAGTTTGATGGTGTGTGTGCCTTCGGGGAGCCTTATATGGTGCGTGGGATGACTTGACACTATTGGTGTGCACGGTGCCCGTCAGCAGGTCGGCCTGCTTAACATCTATCATTCTGCTGAGCAACACATTATCATAATACTTAGTGTCAGTGCCAGAGTGCATGCATTGTTCAGACACACTGAATGTTAGTGGGGGGCAAATCTTTTGCTTGAGTAGCGTTATCTGTCAATCCGTCTGTGATGCTGAGAGGGGCGACTCTAAGCTGCGCCACACAGCCAGGAGTAAGAGACACAAAGAGTTCTTAAATGTCCCCATCCATCCTCCTCTCCTCGGTGGGTCCATGAGGGGGAACTGTCCAGAAATAGCTGGAACGACTAGCATAACGGAAGAGTTTTTGTCTTTAAACTGTGAAATGTCACTCACAGTGAAAACATTTGTTTTGTTTTCATGTGAGCTAGTCACTTAATTATTCAGGACAACCGAAACAGCACTGATGGTTGATCTGGGTTCATCTACCGTGGTGTTGTAGAAGCCGTGCTGAACAATGACTGACAGATTGTGGAAGCTGAGTGACAGGTGTAGCTTAAGTCTACAAGTGACCCCTTTGATCATTAGAACAGAGGGAGTGTGTGAAGCAGGCAGCTGACGGCTGGGTCGGACCGGTTCTGAGGCGGATGGATGGAGCGTAGTAGTTTAACCACCTCAGACACAGGAAGTGCTG